TCTCTCTCTCTCTCTCTCTCTCTCTCTCCTTCTCCCTCTCTCCTTCTCCCTCTCTCCTTCTCCCTCTCTCTCTCTCTCTCCCCCTGGAGCTCAGGTGAGTCCTGACTAACCCTGCTGGCAGTGAGGCCACTACAGAAGTTCCTATGCCTTCAAAAAGCTCCGTGGCCTCAGCAGGGTGCCTCTCCCTACCCCTCTTGCTCATGGATATGGTGGGAATGTCCCTACAAGGGACATGTCATAGGCACCTTTGATCTTGCCCACTGCTTTCTGGCCAGAGATGCTCTGTAATTCAGGATGAAAGCCAGACAGCCATGGGAGAGCAGGATTGACTCTGAAGAGGCCATACCCAGGGGGGAACAAGAGAGGCTGCTGGGCTGGGAAGCTCATAGAGCATTTGTTCTATGGCGCCCCCCAGAGGACCACAAGGTAGAACCTATTGCCTAGCAAGGGCACTCCCCAATGGGTTGAGCTGCCTGCAGGCTGTGCGGTGTGCTCCAAGCTCCCAGCTTTGTGAGCTGTCACCCATGCTGGGCAGGCTTTGGTGACAGAGCTGCCTTTGAGCCATTTCTGTAAATGACCCCTCACTCATATTCCTGTGAATAACCCCAGTGAAACTCATTGGCTCATCAAGTTGGTCTTGGTGGTAGTGATTCTGGGCTCCATATCTGTGGTCAGTAGATATGTGTTGTGTCTCTCCAGGAAAAGCCTTGTCCCACAACACACTCCCCAGCGGGACCACAATGTGAACCCCCAAGGTCTGTGTAGGCACCAGACAGTGAACACGCATGTCCTATGCACAGGTTTCCCAGCACTGGGTGGGCGTGGTGCCACCAAGTCCTTCTGTCCCTGGGACACCCACTGAGGACTTGACCCTCTGGCTAACAGTCCATCCCCCATGTCTTTCCCCCAAAATTCCACTGTGCTCAGTCCCAAGCAGGTCCTTAACTGGAGGAGCAGTGGGGATTGGGGACAGCAACTGACTCACTGATTTGCCAGCCTCCTAGCATGCTTGGGAACACAGGGCCCCAGACTAGTCGCTCCCTGAGACCTTGATCCCTTCCTGTCTTAGGGGGCTGCTCCAGTGGAGGCCACCCAGAGCCACCAAACCTCAGTGGTTCTCTATGCCTGAGACCAGTCTGCTCAGGCTAGCCGGGCTCCCTGGAAAGAGGCTTTCCCTAGCCATGTCTGATGTCCCTCCATCCCCACTCACTGTCAGCTCCCCAGGCCACCCAGACCAGCTAACCTTGGCCTCCAGCGTAGTCAGGCGCTCACTCATGTCGCTAAGCCGGGTACAATTCATACATTCTGAAAAAAAAAAAAAAAAAAAAAAAAAAAGGAAGGAGAAAAAAAGAGAGACATCAAAGTTAGATACAGTATAAACGCACCCACCTCACCCCAAGAAAAAGGAAGCCTGGCAACAAGGATAGCCTCTAGTGGCAGCTGGTTAAGATCAGAAAGATTAGAAAAGATTAGAAAAATGATTTTGTCTGGAAAACTCCTATCCATCCGTCAGAGCCTTATCTTTGATGTCCACCCTCCTCCTTGCAACCTGCTGTACCTGAGTCAGCCTGGGTAGGGGCAGCTGAGGATGACATGCTGGAGATGGTGGCATCTAATGGGAAGTCTAAAGGCTACATGGTAGTTGACACACGCTGAGACCCAGACAGGAATGAAAGTAGGAAGCAGCTTCTATATGCAGCCAGCCCATCTAGGGACTGAGAAAGGGGCAGGGTGACAATGTGGCCAGCAGGGGTCTTCACACCAGGGGGTCTGGGAGATGGGTTTGGCAGTGTCCTGGCAAGAGAGCTTCAAGAAGGCTGCAGGTTGTAAGGCTCCTTCTGAGGACCAGCATAGGGCACTTGCCCAGCACACATGAAGTCCTGGCTTCCACTCCCAGGCATGGTGCAGGTCTGCGATTCCTGAGGCTCATCCCAACTATATATCAAGTTCAAGGCCAGCCCGTGATACATAAGACGCTCTCTAAAACCAAACAACAACCTCCCCCCCAATCCTTCTGGTCGGTGCACAGTGGTTCATACCTATGATTCCAATATGTTCAGTATGTGAGAGGCTGGGCAGGAAGGTCACCAAGAATTCCAGGCTAGCCTGGACTACAGAATATCTTCCAGGCTAGACTGGGCTGTACAGCTGCGCTCGCGCTCTCTCTCTCTCTCTCTCTCTCTCTCTCTCTCTCTCTCTGTCTCTGTCTCTCTCTCTGTCTCACACACACACACTCACTCACTCTTTCTCTCTTACACACATATACACACACCCTCTCTCTTACACACACCCTCTCTTACATATACTTTCTGTCACACACACTCTTTCTTACACACTCATACACACACACTCTTACACACACACCCTCTCTTACATATACTTTCTCACACACAACTCTTTCTCTCTTACACACTCATACACATACACACCCTCTCTTACACACACACCCTCTCTTACAGACACTCTCTTACTGTTATACACACACACCATCATACACTCTCACACACACTCTTTCTCTCTTACACACACTCTCTTACACACACAATTCCTCTCTTACACACACACACCCTACACACAATCCTTCTCTTACATACACACTCTCTTATACACAATCCCTCTCTTACACACACACTCTCTTACACACACTCTCTTACACACACAATCCCTCTCTTACACACACACTCCCTTACACACAATCCTTCTCTTACACACACACTCTCTTATACACAATTCCTCTCTTACACACACTCTCTTACACACACACTCTCTTACACACACTTTCTTTTTCTCTCTTACCACTCTCTTTCCCTTGCAGCACACTCCCACACACTCTAACACTTTCTATCATATACACACTTACACACACTCTTTTACACACACTCTCTTATACACACATACTCTCACACATATACTATGCACATAGACACACTACACACATTCTATCCCCCCCCACTTCACACACACACACACAAGGTCACAAAGTTCCCCTAGGCCCCACTCTCCTGGCCTTTAATTGTCTGTTTAGCTTATGTTGTCTCCCCAGACTTAAACTCTTTACTGTGGAAAGAGATGGCTCAACGCCACTCTGGAGAGCTTTGATTGCTTTAGACCTCAAGGCTCCTCTCTCTTTTCTTTGCCCAGTTCAAAGCCTGGATTTGTAGGAACCTCTTTCTGGAAACACATGTCCAGAGACTTGTGAGACTTTGCTGGTTGACTCAATAGCTGTGCCCACATGGGTGCCAGGGCCTTGGACACAGGCTGAGAGGGCAAGTGGCCTTGCTTAGTTGCTGCTCCCTCCAGGAGGAGTGTGGGCAGTCCTAGTGTAATGCACTAGTTCTCTGAGTGTGCACAGCTAGGCTGGGCATCTGGTATCCCACTCAGAGTGAATAAACTAGGTATAGTAATGCACACTTATAATCCCAGCCCTTCAGAAGGAGGATCAAAAGTTCAAGGTCAACCTGGGTTACATAAGCCTCAAATAAGTAAAGGCTGATTAAGTGGCTCAACGGTTAAGGCACTCACTGTGCAAGCATGAGGATCTGAGTTCAAATCCCCAGAACTTTTGTCGTGAGCACAGACAGGAAGATGGCTTGGCCTTGCTTGCGGCCAGCCCAGGCAGGAAAAAAGTGAACTCCAGGTTCAGTGAGGGACCCAGTCTCAAGAGAGTAAAATGAAGAACGACAGAGGAGGGAGTTTGATGCCTCCCACTGGCCTCTGCAAGCACATGCACAAGTGCATGGGTCGCACACGTGTACACATGTCACAAACATGCATGCGCACGTCACACACGTGTGCACCCGACACATATACGTGCACGGAAATAATAAAATCAAACAAGACTAGCAAACTACAATGCAAAAAGAAGGTAATGAGAAGCAAAGAGGGGACTGGGGGGTCATGTGGCCCCTAAGTCCATCTCTGGTACCCATGAGTTCTTGGCTTAGGATGAAGGGTTGAGGCAGGGAGGTAGAGCTATGTATAACTAAGCAGTCCTGGTCAAGGTGGGGTCGGGATGCTCACTGTCTCAGTCTGGTTCTGCAAAGCGGTCCAAGGAAGCTTTTGTCACTTGAGGGGATAGGTTAGTTCTCAGAAGTGAACTACTTCAGCTCCAAGCTGCAGCCTTCTCTTTGTGGATAACTGTTCACCTGGACTTGGGCGGGGGCTTTGTCCTGCTCTTTCTGGAATTCAAGGTGACTGTAGGTTTAGTTTTTGTTAAGATTTATTTTATTTTCAATTATGCATCTGTATGACTGTGTGTGTGTGTGTGTGTGTGTGTGTGTGTGTGTGTGTGTAAGTGTGCGCATGTGAGTGCAGGTGCCAACAGAGGCCAGAAAAGGGCGTCATGTCTCCTGGCAGACAGTGCATAAGTTCTTGGAACTGAAGTCTGTCTTTTACAATGATGGCAGGTGCTGCTAACCACTGAGCCATCTCTGCAGCCGTGTGACTACAGGTCCTGGAACAAGCGGATGTAGATACTGACAGTAAGGTGTCCCTGTGACTCTTCACTATGGATGGGTGATAAGCTAGATAAGGTATCACCAAGTTTTAGATGGATGGGCCTAGGTGCAGAGGTGGCAGCTGGCCCAAGTAAAGGATAAATGCAGAGCAAAACCAGAGATACCAGGCTTCCAGCCTGCTTTTACTTAGTTACCTTATGGGCCCAGGTGAGGAGTCTGTGCTTTCAGCAAATGAAGTTTAAAGTGTCTAATTTTTTGTTCTGGTTTTGAGATACTGGGGATTGAACTATAGTAAGTGTTCTACCACTGAACCACACCCCAGCCCTCCACTGGGGGATTCTAGGCAGGTGCTCTATCATTGAGCCACACCCCAGCCCCTCACTGGGGGATCCTAGGCAGGTGCTCTACCATTGAACTACACTCCTGGCTCCTTATGACAGAGTGGGGGAGAGCTCTAGGCAAATGCTCTGCCACTAAGCTCCATCCCCAGCTCTCTTTTTACTTTGTATTTTGAAACAAGATCTCACTAAGTTGCTCAGGCTAGTCTTGAACTCATTCTATAGTCCAGCCTGATCTACAACTTTCCATCCCTTTGCCTCAGGCTCTGGAATAGCTGGGATGAAAGGCATGTGCCACCTGGTTCAGCTTTAAGGGTGTTACAGTAGGATCAGGAGAACAGGTGAGTTGGGCATTGTCCTCCACCCGGCTTCCGTCCCCAGGCTCAAGCCGAAAATCACTTAGCAAGAATGATAGTACCCGGCCCACCTCCTGCTCTCCAGAACTACTTGATTTATTGGAAGGAATCGTATGGCT